GCAGTGAGCTGAGATCCGGCCACTGCACTCCAGCCCAGGCGACAGAGCCAGACCCCGTCTCAAAAAAAAAAAACAAAAAACTGGGGCTCGTGGCCCGTGAGCTGCAAGTTCGGAGGGGAATGGCAGGGTGGAAGCCCCGGCAGCTGCCCGCTGCTGACTCCAGGATGCCTAGATGGGAGGCTGTGGGGGACACAGGTGGGGCTGAAGATTATGACCTTGGGCATCTGAGCCTGGTGGGAATTGGCCTCCAGCACTAACTGTGGGCAGCTACCAGCCTGGCCGCCTCTGCTTCCTTATGTGGGAATGGACAGGACAGCCGACCATGTGGGGCTCCTGGGGGCATCAACAAGGTGGCACCGTAAGGCACCCAGCACAGACGAGGTGCTCAGAGGATGCCAGCTGCTCTATGGCCCCAGACACCATGGCGCAGGGCAGCTACCAGAGTGGCCCCTGAGCTGCCTGGCAGTGGGAAGGCGGGGCCCCAGCCCACCCCCACCCCAGGGACTGGTTCCTGGCCCCTGCCTCCCCACCTCCTGATATACAGCGGGCATTAGGCCGCCCAAAGGGGATACTGCATCCTTAGGAAGAAATATGTCCTCATTTTTCTTAAACACCGTTTCCACTGAGTGAAATGTTTAGAAGGGACGCGCAGGGAGAACTTTATTTCCTACCAGGGAGTTCAGAGCCACCAAGCAGAGCCCATAAAGCACCCGGAGCCCAGCAGCTGACAGGCAGCCCGGCCCCAAAACACATTACTCACGGGTGGGGAGGGGCTGCCAGGCCTGCCCAGCCCCCTGGGAAAGACCACCACCCCCACCGACTGTCGAGGCAGGACAAGCAGCTCTGAGACCCAGGGCCGTGGGCGGTGGGCACTGGAGCCTCTCCTCCCCTTGAACCCAGGATGCCTGTTGGAGGGGGCCTGGCCCTGAGCAGGCTACCCCGAGAGAGCAGCGAGACCAGGGGACTGGGGATCCAGGTGCAGCAACAGGAACGCCCTGCTCACCCAGAGCCGGCAGGAACCCTGGCCTGCCCCAGCCTGTGGAGGGAGCGATGAGATTCATGCTATAACGGGGCTTCTTCCGAGGCCCTCCCTTCATTCGATTTCTGAAGCCGGCTGATTTGAATATTTATAAATATCAGTAAATTATTTATTGTAGCAATCTGCTGCACCGTTTTACCCATCGCAGTTAACACTTTAGGGGGATCCGTGTTATGGGAACAGGAAGTGAGGGTGAGGGGGGGACGGGGCAGGGGAAGGAGTCCCTGCAGAGAGGCCTGGCATTTCCTAGGGCTGGCTCAGGAGCCCTAATGGGGATAGGGCCGAGTCCCCGCCTTCGGGAGCTCCTGGCCAGGGTGAGCTTGGGCTCTGGGGTGTCTACAGCTCCAGGATCAGCGTCCTCCTCCATGAAATGGGACAATGACAGTGCTGGCTCCGCTGGGCCGTTACGAGTCATCCGTTAGTACCTGGAAAGGTGGACGGTCCAAGCCATGCCCCTTTCCCCCAACCCTGTGCAGGGTCTGCTCAGGTCCGAGACCTGCTGGGGGACTGTTGCTCGTGGCGCCCTGAGAGGGAAGGTCCCGAACCTGGGAATCCGAGGAGGGGCTGAGAGGCCAGCCCACCCCTGCCCCAGACCTCCGGCCTCTTCTCTGTCCCCTGCCTCTTCCAGGCCAGGTAAGGTTTCTCAGCCTTGGAATCTCAAGCCCACGTGTGGCACCAAATCTGCCTGGTGGCCCTCCCAGGGCTCAGCTGCCTTTTCCCAGATTCATGCCTGCCGGGCGCTGTGCTTGGCACAGACAGGTGCCCTCTCGCCTGGTAGCCAGCCACCTTTCTACACGGAAAAATCTTGCCCAGGGCCAGAGCTAGCGCAGGGCAGAGCAGGGCAGAGCTCTGCCGTGAGCTCACGACTCCCTGACCCCAGAGGCTAGGCCATATCCTGGTGCTGCGCCAGAGCCCCTGGGGCCAGAGGCTGGAGGCCAAGAGCACCGCCACCAGCAGAGAGTGGGCTTTGGCTGTGCGTGGGTCCCAGGCCCGGCCGAGCCCCCCTCGGTGGCCCCTCCCCTTGCCTCTCCTGTCTCCGTCTCCGGGGAAGCAGAGCAGGAGTCCCCTCGCCTTCCCACCCTCTGGCCCAAGCCTGCCTCCTGGGCAGTATTGTTCCCAGAGGAAGTGTCCAGTGTAAATAGAGCAGCGGGCAGGCTGGTGGCGGGAAGGAGATGAAAGGGGCAGTGACAGGGCTGGGGACGGATGGCTTCCTTCCATTGAGGCCTGGCCACGGCGTTTATATTTTAGGGAAGAAAGTCAGGGGAATGTTTACATGGACAGGAGTCTGGGGTCAGACCACAGCGGGGTGGCGGGGGTGTGGGGGGGATCGTCTATGGATCCCAGGGCCCTGGGCCGGAAGGCGGCGGGCAGCTTAGACCTCAGCTCCGACGCACCCCCATTCCCGCTGCCTAGTGTCGCAAGCGCTTGCACTTACAAACCTAAGCCCTACCTCTGCCTCCTGCCCCTGTGTCCCCGGCCTACACGCCTCCCACCTCCACCCCTGGGACCAGCAGGAGAGGGAGAGGGAGGGCAGCATCTGGAAGGCAGGTGGGCTGGGGCAGCGCAGCAGCTGGAGGGCAGGTGCCGGGGGAGTCGGCAGGAGCAAAGGGGCCTGGGGCTGGGGGCGGGTCCTGGGTACACAGCTGCACCGCAGCTGGTGGGGGCCCGGGCAGGGACTGAGCCAGGCACACAGCCGAGATGGGGAGAAGGTGGGCTGGACTGGGTGGGCCAAAGTGCGGGGAGGCTCCAGGATGGGTGGGGGCCCAGGGAGGGGGCGTCACCAGCAGCAAGTGCAGCCCTGGGAGCTTCTGCTTCCCTCTTCCTTAGGATAAATATTTATAGATTCATTTGCCGTCTGCCATCCACACTTGGCTGCTTACCTCCTGGTAAAAATAGTGCAGGCTCCCCACTCCCCCTTCCTTTCCCCATCCAGGGCAGGGGACAAGGGGACCAGGTGAGGCCTGCACCCCCGGAGGCCTGTTGGAGGAAACCCGGGTCACAGAACCTGCTGGGCAGCTCCGAGGTCTAGTGGGACGCTGTGAAGAGGAGGCCCCGTCTCAGAACTTCAAGAGGGGCCCCACATCGTGCTCGGGGTCTTGGGTATGGGCAGCACAGACTTGGAGATGTGGACGAACCTGGGTAGAGTGGGCATCAGCCTGGGCAAGTGTCTAAGGCCCTGAAGCCAGGGTCACAGGACTGTAAGGCCTGGGAGTAGGCTGAGAAGCCCCTTCTCTGGCAGTGGGCCTGGCCGGGCTAGAATCACTGTGTCTCATCTGGGCCAAGTGAGCCATCCGTACTGGCCACTGGCTACAAGGGAAGGATCTGGCTGAGACTGCCAGGCTCCGTGTCTATCGGGGGACGGTTATCTGTGCGTATGAGTCAAGTTCACCTCAGGGATGCGGCCCCTGGGTGGACCCAGGTATTGCCATTCCTGCCTGAGTAGGCCTCTCATTGGGTTTCCAGGTGTGTGGAAAGTTGGCAGGGAGTGATCTTAGAGTGAAGCCCCTTCTGACCCTGGAGCCGGGGGCCCTGCCCTCACTTAGCCTTCCCACCTGTATGGAGATTCTGACACGCCCATGTCTCCAGTGAGGGCCACGAAGAGGCACATTTTGTTTTGTACACAATGAGTGTGAGCTGAGCCCCTGCTGCTGTGGCCACTGCCATCAGCCGCACCACAAGGTCTGGCCCACAGAAGGAGCTCACTTAAATGGATGGATGGACAGACAGAATTCCACATGTGGCCACACTGTGTGTGTGTGTGTGTGTGTGTGTGTGTGTCTCCACTCTCCCAGGCCGTGTGGTGGGTGGGCTTGCCATATGCCCCCCAGGACCCTCAGTGCCCTATCAGGGACAGAGTTCAGGCTGTGTGTCCGCGAGGGAGATCGCTGGCTTTCAAGTCGCCTCGTTAGGGCTTCCAGCTGTGTGTGTCGGGCTGTCGTGTTCAGGGATTAGGTGCTGTGACCGGCGCTTCGGGGCTTTCCATGAGGGATCTAAGCGATCCCACCCTGCTCCAGCTGGAGCTCCTGGGGGTTGGGAAGTGGGCTGGCCAGGCCTTCCGGGGCTGCAGGGGCTGGCCGAGGCTGGGGAGCCAGGTCCTAGGACAGGGACAAGTGGCCCTAGGAAGGGCTGTGAGGAACTCCGCTTGGACAGCTCTGACTGAGGCTTGGGGAAGGGAGCGGCAACAGGAAATGGCCAGAGAGGCCAAGAGGGGGCTGGCAAGGGCTGGGGAAGACCCTGAGGCCAGGAGGAGATTGAGGAACACGGAGGCCTTCAGGAGGGTCCTGAGTGGCTGGGAGAAAAGCTCTCTGCTCTTTACTGAGCAGGGTTGGAGTCAGGTGAGGCCCAGGGACCTGGCCGGGCAGAGGAGCTGCCAGGTGCTGACGTGCTCAGGTGGGAGGTGCCAGCCAAGTGCTGCTGGGACAGTGAGGCAAGAGGCTGGCACAGGCTGGTCCCTGGCTCTCTGTGACTTCTCCCCGGGGATGTGTGGTGAGGCAGGATGCTCCCAAGTGGAACCGACCGCCAGCAACTCCATGCTGTCCCTTGAAAGCCTGACTGCATAGCCGGCTCCTTAATCTCCCTGGGCCTCAGTTTCCTTGTGTGTCAAAGGGCACAGCCCCTCCCAGGGCCCAGCAAGCCTAGGAAATGCCTCCAGGACCTGGGCGCCCCTTGTAGTTGAAGAGTCGTTCATTCATTCATTTGTTCATTTACAGATTACTTCTTGAACTACCTGCTCTGTGCCAGGCACCCTGCCAGGCCCAGAAAGTAGAGTGATTCTCAAGCGCTGCCAAGGAACTCGTAGACTAGTGGAGGAGACAGACATGTGCCAGGCAGGCTCAGGGCAGTTTGATGGAACTGTGGTTGATGGGGGAGGCCTGCAGGTTGGGGGATGCAGGGCTGTTTGGGAGGGTGGGTTGTGCTTGGCCTTGCACACCTCTGACCTCCATGCCCTCCTCCATCCCTGCAGCTGAGGGCACCCGGTGCACGGACCCGCCTGCAGGCAAGCCCGCCATGGCACCCAAGCGCAAGGGCGGCCTGAAGCTGAACGCCATCTGCGCCAAGCTGAGCCGCCAGGTGGTGGTGGAGAAGCGAGCTGACGCCGGCTCCCACGCGGAGGGCAGCCCATCGCGGCCCCGGGACCCAGAGCGCAGTGGCCCTGAGTCTGGGGCAGCCCGGGCCCCCCGCAGCGAAGAAGACAAGAGACGGGCGGTGATCGAGAAGTGGGTGAACGGGGAGTACAGCGAGGAGCCGGCGCCCACACCCGTGTTGGGGCGAATTGCCCGCGAGGGTCTGGAGCTACCGCCCGAGGGTGTCTACATGGTGCAGCCCCAGGGGTGCAGCGATGAGGAAGACCACGGGGAGGAGCCCTCCAAGGACAGCGGTGCCCTGGAGGAGAAGGATTCGGACGGGGCAGCCACCAAGGAGGACAGCGGCCCCAGTGCCAAGCAGCCTTCAGGTGGGTGCCTGGCCTTCGAAAGGAGGCTAAAGGCCGGGACAGGGAGGCCATCGGGGAAGGGACAGTGTGTCCGGTGAGCACACCTGACTCCTCACTCCTGCTCTAAATACCTGCCCCTCGTCCCACCCAGGGAGGACTCCTGGAGTGGGAGAGACTAGGACAGGGAGGGGCACCCCAGGTGAGAAGGGAAGGGCTGGAGCTGCCCCACACAGTGGGTCTTTGAGAAACCACAGGCAGAGGGGTGGACAGGTGGAGAGGGAGGAAGGGAGGGTGGCTGGATAGATGGACGGATAGGATAGATGGCTGGACAGATGGTGGGTAGGTGACTCTTTACACACAACTGTGAGGCCTGAGCTTACCGGGCACAGTACCTGGCACAAGAGGGGCACAGTGGTCAACAGCATGAACCTTGTGAGCCTGCTGTCTGCGCATTCTGCTACTTAGGGCGTTTTCTCGGAGGAGCCCAGGACAAGCTTTGTTCTCCCGCCACTCCCCTTGGCCTCCTCTTCCTTCCCTACACTGCTGTCCCTGGCCCTCCCAGCAGGACGTCTCAGGGCCACACGGATTGCCAGCCCGGCCAGCCGTATCTTCTTACAGCCAGCTGCCCCGGCCGCGGTCCCCTGGCTGACCTCTCTCCCACGAGGCACGGAGGCCCTGCTCTGCTGGTATCTCCACGTCCTGGGGATCCAAAGCAGCCCTGCACGCCTTCTGCTTAGGGGAGGGCGGGCCTGGGGTTCCAGCAGGCAAGGGGGTCGCCAGGACCACAGCCCCCAGGTCTGGGCCTTCTCTCTGCCCCTGGCCTCCTTCCCAGCCTTGTGTCTGGTGCCCTGCGCCTCCCCTGCCCGCTCCCCTAGCCCTTCCCCTGCAGCGAGGGGCGCATCTCCTCCCTGTGCGGGGAGCCCTGCGCAGCCACATAATTATGCATATAAGATATAAACAGAGCTGTTTAATTATCCTTCGCCACATCAGTGACAGAGTAATTAACAAACATTGCAAGATCAATGAGGAAAAGTGTGACCTTCAGTTTCCTCTGATAGGAAAAGCCCTTGCCGTTGCCAGACACAAGGTGATTGTGCTGGGCCTGAGGAGAGGAGAGGGATGCGACAAGGGCCACCATCCCCTCCACACCCCCACCCAGGCCAGCTCTGCCCGCAGCTGGCAGGGAGCAGAGTGGGCCTCAGCCCTTGCCTCCTTCCTCCAGGGGAGTGGAGAGCGGAGTTGGCAGAGGCGGGCCTGGAACTGCCTGTGGCCTGGGGGACTCAGGCCTCGCCCCTTAGCCCTGACACTGGGACTGCCTGCTCAGCCGTGAGCGCTGGAGGAGACAGACAGTGGAGCCCCAGCTGCCACCGTGGGCTTGGCTCCCAGGCCACCTTCTCTGGGCCCTGAGCTTGGCCATGCAGGCCTGTGGGCCCCCTCAGTGACCCCTGCCTGGTCCCCTCCCTGTGCAAGCTGCCTGCCCTTCGAAGCTTCTGTTTCTCTGCCATATATAGCGAGGGCTCAGCTGCCTCCAGCTATTTTTAGCCCCTTTCCCTGGTCCCTGAGCCACTGAATCCAGCAGCCAGAGCCCACTCCTCCCGAGCTGGGCCCCCCAACCCTGTGTAGCTTGAGGTCAGGACAGTGGCTGACCCGACAGCCCCGCCCCAGGGGAACAGCTGTCTGTTGGTTTCTTGAGTCCCTCTGTGCACCCTGGGTGCCAGGTGGCCAGGCCCTCCCACAGCCTCTCCTTCCACATCCCACCGGCGTCCTCCCCTCCCCAGGCCCAGCCCTGTCCCTTTAAACCCCCATCCCAGGTATCTCTGAGGATCCCAGGCCTGGCAGGTTCACCTGGGAGGAGACCCCCAGCCACGCCTTCCCTTGGCTGTGTAGTCAGCCTGGGGTCCTGTCACCCTGAGCGTGCCCATGTGGCTGCCTTGCACACGAGCAGAGAGAACATGGTGTCCCCGGGGGCCGTGCAGGTATCAGTCTCGCGGGTGCACCTAACCCTGACACAGGGCATGTGCCATGGCATATGTGTGCATGTGCCATGCCCTGCGTCAGGGTTAGGCATACGGGAGGCATGTAGCACACGGGCAGTGAAGAGGCGAGTGTGCGTGTGCACTGGGGTCACGCCTCGGCCGTGGCGTGGGGCGTGTGTAGAAGAGGCAGGTCCACACGAACAGCTCAGAATTAGCCTGGGACTGCCTTCTCCCTCATTCCGAGAGACCCGGGGCAGGGGTTCCGGGAGTTGTGTACCTGTGTGTCTGCAGAGGTGGGAAGGCAGCCAGGGATAGGAGCTGGGGAGCCCGAGTGTGCGTGCAAGAGTGTGTGAGGTGTGTGAGTGTGTGGTGTCTGTGTGTGAGTCAGTCAGTCTGAGTGTGTGTGTGTGGTGTCTGGGTGTGTGTTTTATGTGAGAGTCTGCATGTGACTGTGGGGGGGTGAGCGAGTACATGAGTTTTATGTGACTGCGTGTCTGGGCGTATGTGAGAGTGTGTGTGATTGTGAGCACATGACTGGGTGTGTAGTGGGTGTGATTGCATGTGTGTTGTGTGTGATTGTGTGCACGTGACCGTGTGTGTGGGTTTATGTATGTGATGGCGTATGTGTGCATGTGATTGTACGTATGTGCGGGTAAGAGTGTGTGATAAGGCGTGTGTGTCGTATGTGATTGTATGCACGTGACTGGGTGTGTGGGTGTGAGAGTATGAGAATGCACATGTGTGTTGTATGTGATTCTGAGCATGTGATGGGGGGTTGGGGGGTGCCAGTGTATGTGTGTGTTTTATGTGATTGCACGTGACTGTGTGTGGGGATGTGAGAGTGTATGAGAATGCATGTGTGTGTTGTGACTGTGTGTAGGTGTGTGAGTGTATGAGAATGCATGAGTGTGTTGTATGTGATTGTGTGCATGTAACCGTGTAGGTGTGTGAGAATGCATGTGTGTGTTGGCGATTGTGAGAATGTGGGTGTGTGAGAGTGTATGAGAATGCATGTGTGTGTTGTATGTGATTGTATGCATGTAATTAACTGGGTTTATGTGAGTTTGTATGTGATGGCATGTGAGTGCATGTGACTGTGTGTGGGTGTGTGAGAGTGTATGAGAATGCATATGTGTGTTGTATGTGACTGCATGTGACTGTGTGTGTAAGAGTGTATGAGAATGTATGTGTGTGTTATGTGTAATTGTGTACATGTGACTGTGGGTGTGTGTGTCAGAATGCATGTGTGTGTTGTGAGTGCATGTGATTGTGTGGGTGACAGTATGAGAATGTCTGTGTGTTGTGTGTGAGTGCATGTGACCGTGTAGGTGTGTGTGAGAATGCATGTGTGTTGTATGTGATTGTGTGAATGTGACTGTAATGGGTGTATGTCTGAGAATGCATGTATGTGTTGTATGTGATTGTGTGCATATGACTGTGTGTGGGTTTGTGTGTGTGCCTGTGTGTTGGTGTGTGAGAGTGTGCGAGCATGTCACTGTGGGGAGGTGGCTCCAGGCTTCCTGGTGTGCCCAGGGGTGGCCACAGTGGGGAGGCTGCACTCAGGCCCTGCCTGGACTCCTGCCCTCCCTGGGTGGCCCAGCCTTGTGTGAGCGCAAGTGATTGGAGGAGGCCAGCGGGTTGGAGGACACGTCCAGGTCCTATGTCACAGGCCGGGGCACATCCACAAACCCGCCCCTGGCTGAGCTGTGTTGTCAGGGACCCCCAGCACCTGGGAAGGTATGGGGAGGCCAAGAGACCGGGTCCCAGGAAGGCTTGGAGTGGACCCTTCATCCGCCCAGGGGATCCATTTGCCGGGTCAAGGGAGGTCCTCCAGCCAGGCCCAGCCCGACCCCGGCCAGAGCATCTTCCTCACCCCTGGGCTCCCGCCCAACTGCCCACCGGCCAACGTCCCTACCTGTCTCCGGTTCTTGCCACTCCCTGTCCTGGGAGGCAGGTTGGGATCTGGCCTTACTTCCAGTAAAATGACTTCTCTTTCATATTAGGCCAAGGCGAGAGAGCGGAGACATTTATGAAACTTTGTTTAATGTACTGAAAAGCCATCGGCCAGAACATTTAGGAAATTGATTTTCCTGGCATTGATGAACTCGTTTTATTTTACCCCAGTATTAATTACTTTTTTTTAAAACAAATTAATTTAAGAGTCGTAAAACCTAACAAGTGAGCCAAATGTCCATAGATCATGTCCTGCTCTGCCCCTCCCCACACTGACCCCCTCCCTCTGTGGGTGGGGGCTCCTGTTGGGGGGACTCCTGTCCCTCCCACTCCCTTCCAGAGGTGATGCGCCCCCTCCTCCTCTGCAGGAGAGGCCTCCTCGCTGCGGGACTATGCGGCCTCCACCATGACGGAGTTCCTTGGCATGTTTGGCTACGACGACCAGAACACGCGGGACGAGCTGGCCAGGAAGATCAGCTTTGAGAAGCTGCACGCGGGCTCCACCCCAGAGGCGGCCACCTCCTCCATGCTGCCCACCTCCGAGGATACCCTCAGCAAGCGGGCACGGTTCTCTAAGTACGAGGAGTACATCCGCAAGCTCAAGGCTGGCGAGCAGCTCTCCTGGCCGGCCCCCGGCGCCAAGACTGAGGAGCGGGTGGGCAAGGAGGTGGTGGGCCCCCTTCCCGGCCTGCGGCTGCCCAGCAGCACGGCCCACCTGGAGACCAAGGCCACCATCCTGCCCCTGCCGTCGCACAGCAGTGTCCAGATGCAGAACCTGGTGGCCCGGGCCTCCAAGTATGACTTCTTCATCCAAAAACTGAAGACCGGCGAGAACCTGCGGCCCCAGAACGGGAGCACCTACAAGAAGCCATCCAAGTACGACCTGGAGAATGTCAAGTACCTGCACCTCTTCAAACCTGGGGAGGGCAGCCCCGACATGGGCGGGGCCATCGCCTTCAAGACGGGCAAGGTGGGGCGCCCCTCCAAGTATGACGTCCGGGGCATCCAGAAGCCAGGCCCCGCCAAGGTTCCGCCCACCCCCAGCCTGGCTCCCGCACCCCTTGCCAGCATGCCCAGTGCTCCCAGCGCCCCTGGGCCAGGGCCGGAGCCGCCTGCCTCCCTGTCCTTCAACACTCCCGAGTACCTGAAGTCAACCTTCTCCAAAACAGACTCCATCACCACGGGGACCGTCTCCACTGTCAAGTAAGGCGCTCCCCACCCCACAACGCCCAGAGCTGGGAGCCAGACTAGACAGGAGGCCTCCTTCCTCACCGGGGTTGCCCATGCTTGAGGACACACCTGCCGCTCACACCTTACACACATCCACTGTGCACCCAGGCGCATGCACACTCAGGCTCCCCTCCACGTGCTTCCACACTCACAGGTGCATGCCGCGCTCACGTTCACTCTTGCACCCACAGAACCATGCGTGAGCCCTCCTGCAGCACCCTGCCCTGCTCCGGGACCTGCACGCTCCACCCCTCCCATGCACCTTGCACACACCTCCCACACATGCCCACACTCCCAGGCACCAGCATGCTGTGCCTTTTGCTAGCATGCACACCGGGACTGTCGCCTCCCCCATCTGCCCATGATGGGCTTCCTCTACCTGCTGCCGTGAGCGCCGAATGCAGGCCTGTGGTTGGCTGAGAAAGCGCCTCCCTGGGTGGGGATGCTGGGTCCATGCTGGTGGCCCTGGCTCCTGGGCTCAGAGCCTGGGCCCTGGAGGAGGCAGGAAGCAAAGGTCGTGACCGGGGTGAGGTGCATACACCCTTACAGCGTGAACCCATGAGCAGAAGAATGGCCTGGTTGGTCAAATGGTGGATGGTGTGGGGCTGAGCGAGACCCTTCCCCAGAGCTCCTCCTGCACCCTGGGGAGCTTCCGGACCCTGAGAGGCTGCATAGCTGGGAGCAGATCGAGGCAGCACGGGCTGCCTGGGGCGAGGATACACTTCCCCTGCCTAGCTGCCTGCCCCCGCCTCAAATCCCTCCCCGTTGGGGGGCCTGGTGCCCCTCAGCCAGCGGCCTCCTGATGATCCCTGAGTGCCAGGCACCGATCCCGGGCTTCCGCAGCTTTCCGCCCCATTGGACCCCAGGCTGGCCCATGCCCGAGGGGGGCTCCAGCCCCACCTGCATGAGATGGCCCTGCCCTCCCAGAGTTGGGCTTGTTGAACCTCTGGCCAGCTTCCACCAGGGATGTCCTCAGTCCCACCCTGGGTGCCTGGGACACTGCAGAGCAGAGCAGAGGGGCTGGGGCCTCACGGCAGGGGCTGCCCAGATGCCCCTGTGGCACAAGGCTGCCCCATCTGCTCACTGGCTGTGCCCTGTGTGTCTCTCGCCAGGAATGGACTGCCCACAGATAAACCAGCCGTCACTGAAGATGTAAACATTTACCAGAAATATATTGCCAGGTAGGCCCCTGGGGAGGAGCCTGCCGTGGAGAGAAGGTGGGGGGCCAGGACTGACCGGGCACTCTGAGACCATTCATTTGACATCTGACCTCTAGGGCCAAGGTAGCTGCCTCCTTCCACCCCCATCCACTTCGGTCCCTCCACCGCACCAAGGGCTGCCCTGCACATGCCCGTCTCAGAGCCTCCTTCCGCTCTGTGTAGTCCAGGCCACACATTTCCTCAGCAGCCTGTACCCCCAGGTAGGGCCGGGGTCCCGACGCAGGGCCTGGCCACAAGTGAATGCAGCTCCCCCAGCTTGCCTGGGTCCTGCTGTCACACAGAGCTTTGAGTAGGGTGCAGGTCACTGTGCAACTGTCAGGGTTGGGAAGGTAGAGGCAGGCCGGGTGCGGTGGCTCATGCCTGTATTCCCAGCACTGTGGGAGGCCAAGGTGGGAGGATCCCTTGAGGCCAGGAGTTCGAGATCATCCTGGGCAACAGAGTGAGACCCTATCTCTTAAAAAAAAAAAAAAATTAGAGAGAGAGAGAGAAGGTGTGGGCTGTCATCCTCTCTGACACAGCCCAGTGCACTTCCCCAGTGAGGCTCTGACACCACCTGACTCCAGACCAACCCCTTTCCATCCCAAAGGCAGTGGGATTGGCAGTGAAGAGCCTTTGCCTCAACAGATTCCCCCAAATCACACAAATAACACCCCCCGCCCCCACCCCCCACCGCCTGCCCTCTGATGGGACAGCACACAGCGGCCGGCGCCTGTCTGTCCGCAGATCTTCCAGGTTCCTCCCGCCCGCTCCATCTCTCCGCCTCCATGTTCCGCTCTGTCTCCGCTCCCCTGTCCTGCTTTGTTTCTGCCCCCTGTCCCACTGCCTCTGCCCCCCTGTCCCACTGTCTGTGCCCCCCTGTCCCACTCTGTCTTCAGCTCTGCCCCCCTGTCCCACTGTCTCTGTCCCCCTGTCCCACTCTGTCTTCAGCTCTGCCCCCCATCCCACTGTCTGTGCCCCCCGTCACACTCTGTCTTCAGCTCTGCCCCGTGCTATCTCCTCTATAGTATTATTATTACCATTATTATTAGTGCCTCCACAGATGGCCCTTTTGGCCGCTTCAGCTTAAAGACTTGTTTGCACGTGGTTTTCCCATCACAGTGTGGGGTTTCTCTCTGTGTCTCCTGCAATCTCACGTCACTCTTGGAAGGGGACAGGTGGGCTGAGCCACCCCCTTCTCCACAGTCTTCAAGGTGTGGCCTCTCCAGAGTGGCCCCCCACGGCCGGCCGTCACCGAGGCTGTGGGAGCCACGTCCCAGCGGCCGTGGGGCCTGGAGGAGGACGGGTTTCCTGGGAGGCAGCACAGGCTTCTGGCGGCGGCGGCGGCTGGAGAGTGAGCTCCTTGCTGCAGGAAGCCAAACAGATGCTGTGCTTTAAAAATTCATAACTCTGCACTGTTTCAAGTGTCAGGAAAAGCCCAGGACAGAGAGAGCTCTTTAACGCCTCTCAGCATCAGAGCCCGGGCTGGCCCAGCCAGGGTCTCTGCACCTGGCCAGAGCTGGGCGGGCTGGGAGTGGGGCAGGCAGCCCCTGCAGAAAAGACAGGTGGGCAGCCGCGTGGGCGCCTGCCTTCCCTTCCATCCCAGGGCTTGGGCCCCATCTGTCTCCCCCTGCTTTGACTTTTGGCCACCTCAGCATTGTCCTGCCCCCTTCTTGGGGCCAGGCCACTTTGCCTCAGTGGGCCTGGGGTTCCCCCCAGACCCGGTCACTTGCCTGGGCCTCTGCAACTTCAGCTCCCCTCCGTATCCCATACAGGGCCTGAAGTGTCCTCCCTGGGGCTGGGGCTGGGGCTGGGGCTGTCACCCACAGCAGGGCCCTGACCGCACCCCTCCTCCCTCCAGGTTCTCGGGCAGCCAGCACTGTGGCCACATCCACTGTGCCTACCAGTACCGCGAGCACTACCACTGCCTTGACCCCGAGTGCAACTACCAGGTACGGCCACAGCGAGATGGACTCCGCCTCCCCCACCCGCCAGCGCAGCATGGAGGCACTTAGAAGTCGGTGGGGGAGTGGAGGGGGTTTAGTGCTACTTGCATCACCCAAACTTGACTTGAACAGGCAGAGGGCCCGCAAAACGACCAGCCTGCCCACATTCCCTGATTCCTGCCGACAGAGCAGCTCCTAGCATTGGGGGCCAATGACATCCCAGTGGTGATCATTCCAGTCCCCTTTCGCTGAGAGCCTCCCATGTGTCCAGGCCATGCCAGCCAGCCTGTGAGCCTTGCCTAATTGACTCTTTGCAGTGGCCTTAGAAAGTTAGCAATACTGCCCCATCTTAAAGATGATAAAATGGAGGTTCAGCCAGAGTGCCACTGTGCCCAAGGCTGCCAGCTTGGTGAGTGCAGGGCTGGTGAGTGGGGGGAGAGTCGGGGCAGCCTGCCTGGGGCGGCTCCCTCTGGCTTGCCAGGGATCCCAGCCTGCCTTAGTCCAGAGGTGCACTGGGCGGGATGAGCCATCAGCATCAGAGCCCCTGCCTTCAAGGCCTGGCCCGATGCATCGTCTGTGGCTCCTGGGGATGGCCACTGGGGACCCAGGGGAGCATCAGGGAAGAATCTGTGGTTCTAGAACCTTTGGGATGGTTCCCTCCCAGGGCTGGTGTGCCTGCCACTGGTCTTGGACAGTCTGGGCTGCCTTGACCCCAAGCAGGGTTCTTTCTAGGGAGACCTGAGGCCAGCACCCGGCCCAGGTGCTCTTGGCATATGGGAGGAAGGGCGGAGGGGGAGCTCAGGCTCCTGCCCACACGGCGCTGTCTCCTGGCAGAGGTTCACGAGTAAGCAGGACGTGATCCGTCACTACAACATGCACAAGAAGCGCGACAACTCCCTGCAGCACGGCTTCATGCGCTTCAGCCCGCTGGACGACTGCAGCGTCTACTACCATGGCTGCCACCTCAACGGGAAGAGCACTCACTACCACTGCATGCAGGTGCCTGCCGCGCCCGTGCCCGCCAGCATCTGCAGGACCGGCTCGGGCCCTCCCGGCTCTGTGCCCCCACTCCCAGAGGCAGGGCTGCCCCGCGGGCAGAGCCCCCAGTTGATCGGGAGCCCTGGCCCAGCACAGGGCTAGCCAGCGAGCCAGGAGGGTCTTGGGGGCTCAGGCTTGGGCAGCGTCTGGTGGGCCAGGGTGGGGCCTTCCCCATGGCCATACTTGGTGTGGATGAAATTCAGTGAGCTGTTTATACAGATGGACATTTTTCAGGCTTTAACACCAAGAGCAGCATTGCAAATGATGCCTGAGGAGGTTTTTGTTTAATTCTTTCTTTTAATGCCACGCAGAGTCTGGGCTTTTTCAAGGTGTCAGGGCCAGAAGGAGCGACTTTGGGTTGCAAATAGCAGCCCCGTGCCTCCCCCGGTATTTGTCAGAGGTTGTTATGGCCTCTGTGAACAACCTGGGCCACGAGGAGAGGGGGGCCACCCTCTGGGTTCTGAGATGGTGCAGACACTGGCACGGCCCAGCCTACGAGAGTGTTCAGATTCCACGGGTTTTTACTCAATATGGCAACGTTGCCTTCCTGGCCCGGCTGGGGTGGGGTGGGAGGGCCCCGTGCCCAGGAACTGTCCACTAAGCAAATCCTTGGGCTAAAGGTGACCTCCAGGGTCCAGCCCCTGTCCACCCACTGACGGTTTTGGAGGTAGGGCCATGGATTGGGACTCAAAATCCAACTCCTGCAGAATGCAGCTCCCTCCCCTGGGCCAAAAAGTGCCCTGGGTCTCTGGAGATGCCCTGACCCTCAGCACAGACGGAGCCGGCCCCAGCAGCACTGGGTCCCTCCGGGGGGGCCTGAGGGGCTGTGGGAGGCTTTCTACTCCGCTTCTTACACCCACCTTCCGAGGCCTCCAGTTTGAAGTCAGAGGTGCCAAAGCTTCCCTGAGCAGAGAAGTCAGTGACCCCAGCCACACACAGTGGTGTCGACCTCCGTTTGCCTGACCACCATCCCGTCCTGTGCAGGTGGGCTGTAACAAGGTGTACACAAGCACGTCTGACGTGATGACCCATGAGAACTTCCACAAGAAGAATACCCAGCTCATTAACGACGGCTTCCAGCGCTTCCGAGCCACCGAAGACTGCGGCACAGCTGACTGCCAGTTCTACGGACAGAAGACCACGCACTTCCACTGCAGGTAAGCGGGAGCCTGGCGGGGGCCTTCCTGGGCAGAAGCCGGGAGAGAAGGCAGGGACCCAGGCTCCTGGGACAGCCCAGGCCCCTGCCTTGGTGTCCAGCCTGGGTCTTCCACCCGGGGACTGTCCCTCCCAGGACCGTGGTGGGAGCAGGGTGGGGCCTCGTCTGGGTCCCATGACAGGTTCCCAATGTCCCACCCAGGCGCCCCGGCTGCACATTCACTTTCAAGAACAAGTGTGACATTGAGAAGCACAAGAGCTACCACATCAAGGACGATGCCTACGCCAAGGACGGCTTCAAGAAGTTCTACAAGTACGAGGAGTGCAAGTACGAGGGCTGCGTGTACAGCAAGGCTACCAACCACTTCCACTGCATCCGCGCCGGCTGCGGCTTCACCTTCACCTCCACCAGCCAGATGACCTCTCACAAGCGCAAGCATGAGCGCCGGCACATCCGCTCCTCGGGCGCGCTGGGGCTGCCGCCCTCGCTGCTGGGCGCCAAGGACACGGAGCATGAGGAGTCCAGCAACGACGACCTTGTCGACTTCTCCGCCCTGAGCAGCAAGAACTCCAGCCTGAGCGCCTCCCCTACCAGCCAGCAGTCCTCTGCATCCCTGGCTGCCGCCACTGCCGCCACCGAGGCTGGGCCCAGCGCCACCAAGCCTCCCAACAGCAAGATCTCGGGGCTGCTGCCCCAGGGCCTGCCTGGCTCGATCCCCCTGGCCCTGGCCCTCTCCAACTCGGGCCTGCCCACCCCCACGCCCTACTTCCCCATTCTGGCTGGCCGTGGGAGCACCTCCCTGCCCGTGGGCACCCCCAGCCTCCTGGGTGCCGTGTCGTCTGGGGCAGCAGCCTCAGCCACCCCTGACACGCCCGCGCTGGTCGCCTCGGGAGCTGGAGACTCAGTCCCCGCAGCTGCCGCCTCTGTCCCAGCGCCGCCCACCTCCATCATGGAGAGGATCTCTGCAAGCAAGGGTCTCATCTCGCCCATGATGGCCAGGCTGGCTGCGGCTGCCCTCAAGCCCTCTGCCACCTTTGACCCAGGTGAGCAGGCTGGGTCCTGCCCAGAAAGCAGGCACCTTCTGGACCGGGGTGGCCGCCTGGCCTCAGGCTGCAGAGCAGAGCCGGGGGGTGTTTGGAAGAGGCGTCCGTGTGGCCCCTGCCTGCCAGCGCCCCCTCGTTGCCTGGTCTTCACCCCTATCCTGTTGGTTTCTGTGTGGGGCCCCTGGTTCTGGCTCCCACAATAGGGGGGCCATGCTTCTGTTTCCCCATTTGTGAGCTGGGGGCAATGGTCCCTGCCTCCTCAGCTGCCCCACATCCCTGGGGCCACTGCAGGTCCCCCCTCCCTGTCTGCTCACCCTCCCACATCCCAAGTCCACCCCCGATGAGGGCAGGCCCAGGGCCCCTGGCGTGTCTAGTGTTTCCTCCAGCTGACCTGGAGGGGGGCCTGCGTCCAGCCCAGAGGTAGGGGGCCTGCACCTCACACCTGGACACCTCCAGGCCCAGGCTCCCTCCTCCATGAGTGCCGTCCCAGTAGGACTTTCCAGACAATGGAAGCCTTCTATTTTGTAGTGTCTGACTTGGCAGCCATCGGCCACCTGTGGCTGTTGGTGCTTGAAGCTGGGTCTGTGACTGGGAAGCGGAATTGTCTCTTTAAACGACCCCGCCCTGTCAAACAGAAAAGGGCCACAGCCCCAGAGCGGCGTCTTCCTTCTTCACGCTGGTTCACTGAGGGGCGCAGCTCTCTTTCCTGCCTTCCTATAATTTCATAAATTTTCCATTAAAAAAATGTCCCTCCGTTTTTCTCTGGATTGGGGTGGGGGTGCTTTTCTGTTGACCTCACTCCTCTCCCCGTTTCCCTGCTCTGGGTAGTTCCTATTTGTTGAATCCTTGAGGAGAGTTCAGTTCACATCTGGGATGTGGCTCATGTCACTTACTCATTCAACAACTACTGATGCTTGCTGAGAGCCAGGCTCCGAGCCGGGTGCTGGGACACAGCAGGCAGGATGCCAGAGAGAGCCCCACGCCGTGGAGCCAGCAGACGGTCGGGGATGGTCTGTCCCAGGCACATGGCTAGGAAGTGATGAACCAAGGCGCTGCCCGCAGGAGTGGGGCTCCGCTGGGCCTAGATGCCCTGTTCCCATTAGAAACCCTCTCAGAACCAGCTGAGACTGAGGGTCCCTGTGGCCCAGCCCGGGGCTCTGCCCACACCTCACAGAGGCTGCCAGTGCCTGGCAGGGGAGCTGGGCCATGTTTCCCTGGGACCTTGGGCAGGTGACTTTGGAGAGCTGCCGGAATGTGGAGTCCCCAGGTCTGAAAACTCTCGCAGGCCCAGTAGGGTGCTCATGCCTGGCGGCTGCGCGGAGGAAACACCTCTTGGTCTAGGCATGGGTGGGGCCTCGCTGGCCACGCCCCTCCAGCCAGGGGCCTGATGGATGGGGCAGGGCCCACTCCAGGGCCACCTGGCCTCAGTGGCCAGACTGTCAAGTACTTTGTTTTCATTAGAAAAGTCTCCTTCTCCCAAAAGAAAGGTCAAGCGCAGGGGAGGGGGCCGTTTTATTTTTTAATAAAATGCCACTTGCTGTCTCTGAAACAGCTCTCTGTCAGCTACAGCGCCTTGGGGCAAATTAATATTTCCGTCACTGGGGGAATGTGGGGGAAGGCTCGCTGGACGGCCCTGTCAGCAACTTCTTTTACCCCTGCTCTGCTGGCCTCCTGCGGCCTCACCCGCCCAGCTCCCTTCCGGACCCAGCTCGGCCCAGCCTGGCCTCGTGTCCCTGCCCCGGACAGCCTGACTGTGAGGTCGCCTGGTGTGGCCACTCTGATTGGCCATCGGTCCCATCACCCTGACACAGCAGAGGCCCTTCCCGGGCATGCTCCGTGCGGGGGCCGTCACCCCGGCAACCGCGAGCTGGGGACCACGGAGGGGCCCTCCCAGTCCAGATCTGCCACTTTCCCTCAGCATTAACAGAGTCTTTAATAAAAGCCTAAGCGGCAGCCCCACAAATCGACTGTGACAGTTGGTGGAGAAAACGAAGGGCCCCCGCCCCCACCCCAGCCCCCTCCCAGCCTCCCGCCCTTCTCCTCCAGGAGGCCCTGAGCCAGGACAACTTTGACATAATTTTGCAATAATTATCACTTGAAGAATTGCCACACAGGAGCTAGCGTCGCGAGCGATCACGTCAGCGGGAGAAGCGCTGACCAGCAGCCGGAGCCCACCCAGCCCACTGCCCTCCCTCCAGGGGCACGGCTGTCTGTGCCCAGGCCAGGCCTTCAGCCCCTCTGACGCATCTTCCCTCCCCTCCCCTGCAGGAAGCGGGCAGCAGGTCACCCCAGCCAGGTTCCCCCCGGCCCAGGTGAAGCCGGAACCCAGTGAGAGCACCGGCGCCCCAGGCCCCCACGAAGCTTCCCAGGACCGCAGTCTAGACCTGACTGTGAAGGAGCCCAGGTGAGGCGAGGCCCCCATGGGAGCCAGCCCCGGGAACCGCACCTTCGAGCTGGAGCCCCGGGGTGGTCCTGCTGGGGCAGTTGCAGCGGGCACGGCTGAAGCCCCAGGGTCGGGCAGGGAGGGTGAGCCCCAGGGCCCAGGCCCTGGCCGTCTGAGCTCAAGCCCCTTGGTTTATGTGTTCTAGTAATGAATCAAATGGCCACGCAGTCCCGGCAAATTCATCTCTTTTATCCTCGCTTATGAATAAGGTAAGAGCCATCCATCACACGCCTCCCGTTCCCCCACCCAGAGAAATTAAAGCTGTGCTGGGGGGTGGGGGGATGTGTTTGTTTTTTAATGTTTTGCCTCTAATAAGATGAGTTTGTACCATTTAAATTTTGAGGCCATTTTTCATCGGATATAATTTCAGAGCCACTGCTTACAAATTAATTTAATGAACTGGCTGAAGAAATATATTCCAGCCTCTGACACCTTTTTTTCCCTTCAGATGGAGGGCTCCAAAAGCTTTTCCAGAGCCCTTCAACTTCGTTCATGCCTCGTTATTAATTTTATTTATTTATTTTATATATATTTTTGTTTGTTTAAAAGGAGAGGGGGAAGGGGGGTCTAAAGTGGGAGCAAAACATCAATTTCCACTTTTCGGGTTGAGTAATGGTCTCGGACGCCTTCCGGAGAGGTCGCTCTGGAATATTTATTTTAAATAATGCAGGGTCTTTGTAAATTATACATCATCTCAAATATATTTTTCCCCTTCACATGATACATTTGACTACAGCAAGATTAATTCGGTTACTGTACACAAGTGACTGCCCTGAGGAGGGGCTGGGCCTGGGCTGGACCTGTCGCCACAGGGGTCCTAGCCAGGCACTTGGTGGGGAAGGAGTCTTGCTGGCCCATGGCGTCCACTCCTTGGCCACTTGCTCTCTTGCTCTCCTTCCCCTTCCCCTTCCTTTGGCCTCTGTCCCCACGTCCCCCTCCCTTCCCTTGGAGCCTTGCAATGACCCCCTCCCGGCCACTGCAGCGAGCCTGTCTGAGTCTCACCCGTGAGACTCCCTCCCTCCTTCCCTCCCTCTCTCTCTCTCTCCTTTGTGGGCCTCCTCTTGTTCTCAAGGAATTCATAGGGGTTCCCCCATCCCTCCTCCTTCTGCGCTTCTTTTGAAAACCTTCTGGCAGGAAAATAACCAGGGAGCCGCAAAGTCTGGGGAAAGATGGGCTGCAGCGTGCGCCCTGAGTCGCGGCCTCGGCTTGAGTGATGGATCCTGCGGCACGGGCTCATGTGGAGGAGCCCTGAGGAGGCCTCACAGCTCCTGGGGTCGGGGCAGCGCAGCAGGCTCTCCGTTCAGAGAGGGCCTGGCCACAGCCAGAGCCAAGCAGGCGGGCCGCGTTCTCTGCTGGCTCTGAGGGCTCAGTGGGTCCCAGCAGCCCAGAGCTTCGACTGTTGCTCCCCAGGCAGCCGTGCCTGTGTTCCAAGCTACCCCAGCCCCATGCTCGGCCTCTGTCCTCACAGATGTCTCAGGGCAACCCTGGCCTGGGCAGCCTGCTGAACATCAAGGCGGAAGCGGAGGGGAGCCCCGCTGCAGAGCCCTCACCCTTCCTGGGCAAGGCCGTGAAGGCGCTGGTTCAGGAGAAGCTGGCAGAGCCCTGGAAGGTGTACCTGCGCAGGTGAGGGACTGCCGGCCGCGCCCACCCGTCCTCCTGCAGCACCCGCCCCGGAGCCCCAGGCTCTCCTCTAATGCCGGCTCCTCTGGCTAGGTTTGGTACGAAGGACTTCTGTGATGGCCAGTGTGACTTCCTCCACAAGGCCCACTTCCACTGCGTGGTGGAGGAATGCGGCGCGCTCTTCAGCACCTTGGACGGGGCCATCAAGCACGCAAAGTGAGTAGGGTGCTAGGGGTCATTTCAGCAGAGCCCCACTGATCCCAGCCTGGCTCTGGGGTGGGTGGGGCTGGGGCCGGCACAGCAGTTCCCGCTAGACCACAGAAGCTGAGTCGGCTTCTCAGAGGTGCTGCCCCAGCAAGCGTGGGCTTCCCATCCTGCTTCACACGTGCAGCCCTCAGCCAGGGGCTCTGAGCCCCTGTCCAGGCCCCACCTGGGGCCCTGAGCAACAGCTGCTGCTGCACCCACATTGCCAGGGAAGCCATCAGTCCCAGCACATGCTCCCTGCAGAGCAGGCCAGAGGGGCGCAGAGCCCAGCTGGAGAGACGGCTGTGACTGGAGCAGGAACCCTAGCTGAAGGCCTTTCCAAGCCACAATATTACATCTCTAGGTTACCTTTGACCTAAACATAATGAAATGAATATGTAAATCCCATTGAGTTAAAAGACTTCGAGCCTAGCCGCCCACTTATATATATTTTTGTTTGTTTAAAAGGAGAGGGGGGAGGGGGGAACTCAGAACTTGCAATCGTTTAAAACAGATCTGCAGTGCTCCCAAGGCTTTTCCAACCGCGTAGACACCCTTGGCTGTAGCACGCGGGGAAGCCTACTGTGAATATTGAGAATCCTACCTTTAAGACCTCCGAGCAGGTTCTGGAAGGAAGGGACTTCCTGGGGCAGGGCCTGCTGTCACACACATGGAGGAGCTGGGGACCGAGAAAGGGCACAAGTAGGAAGGCATGGTTAGGCCCAAGCCAGGAGCCCAAGTTTGGACCCAGAGGACATGGCAGTTTGCCCTCCAGTCCTTCTGTCCTGGTGGGGTCACAGGAGACTTCCGGAGCTGAGTGATGGGGACGAGTAGGGACGAACAGCGGGGTCCAGGCCTGTGATGGGGTCACATGCGTGCCCCTCCGCACCTGTCTTCACTGCCCCCCATGAGACCCCCTCTTCTGCCTCTCGCAGCTTCCACTTCCGGACAGAGGGAGGAGCAGCAAAAGGAAACGCAGAGGCTGCCTTCCCGGCCTCAGCTGCCGAGACCAAACCTCCCATGGCCCCCTCATCCCCTCCGATCCCTCCTGTCACCACGGCCACGGTGTCCTCTCTGGAGGGGCCCACTCCCAGCCCGGCCTCCGTGCCCTCCACCCCAACCCTCCTCGCCTGGAAGCAGCTGGCTTCCGCCATACCCCAGATGCCTCAGATCCCAGCGTCAGTGCCTCACCTGCCCGCCTCGCCCTTGGCAACGACTTCTCTAGAGAACGCCAAGCCCCAGGTCAAACCCGGATTCCTCCAGTTCCAGGAGAAGTGAGTCCCTCGATGAGCCGCGAGTCCCGCGTTCCCCTCGCGTCTCGGGAGTAGGTGCTAGCAAGGGCGCTAGGAGGCCCTGTTCCTCACTGCGGATGGCGCTGCTGTCCCCAGCTTCTCTGGGGCATGGCCACCGGGTGATGTCCTTCTAGCCAAAGATGCTGCTGCTCCTACCTCACTGCCTGTCCCAGAGCAGGCCGGCCAGCATGGGCCAATGGTGGCAGCAGTGGCCGCTGCTCCTGCAGGGCATGTGGTGATCCTGCCAGGGCCAGCTGGGGTGGACTGGGCATGGTGGTCCTCAGAGGACGTCTCCCAGCCTGACATGGAGGGCTGCGTCTCCCTCCAGGCCTCTGTATTGGCCTCCTCTGTGGCTCACACCCATGGCTGAATCTCTTCAGGGCACGTGAAGTCACGGGTGGGGCACGGGGGGGCCAGGCCCCTCCAGGCTGTCACTGGCCTGCACAGTGGTCTGAGCTCTTGGGTGGAAGGGACCCTCCTCACTGGATGGTGGTGGCTCCTTGCAGGGAGAACGGTGACTTTGTACTGTCATGTGTGCGGCTTCCTGTTCTCAATAAAAGTAATAAATTGGATTATTTATATCGCCTGAGTGGCAGCTGTCCTCCCTCTCTGAGCACCTGGGGCTGGGCCCACAGCGTGGAAGGGGCCCGGCACTCTTCTCCGTTCCCCCTACCAGCTTCCCCTCCCCTCCTCCTCCCCAGAGTGGCAGCTCAGGTTTCCCAGGCCTGGTCAGGGTGCCCACCGTGGGTCCCCTGGGAGGGGACTACAGTATTGCCAACCAGAGTGGAAGGCTGGGACCAGTGTCCTCCCGCACCCCTCTGCATCCTGCAGGCGGCCCAGGGCAGGCCAGCACACCCCCTCTGCCCCAGCAGCTCTCCCACTCCGCCGGCAAGTGGAGTCTGAGTGGGTGGGCACCATGGGCCCCGAGCTGACCCTGGGGAGCCCAGCAGCTGTGAGCCCCCAGGAGCTGACACCAGGCACGCACTCCTGCTTGCTAAAGGCCTGTGGCAGCAGCGCTTCCTGGTGGGGCCGAGCACCCATCTGCAGTCTGTCAGTCAGCCACATCCACTGCGGCGCCCATGCCACACCAGCCAGGGCCTCACGGCACCCCGCCAGGGCTGGCAGCACCATCCTTATTTTCCAGTCCAAGAAGTTATTCCAGCCATCCTTATCTATAATCCTGAGGTGTGGCCGTGGAAACTACGTGTCCCAGCATGCAATGCTCTGGGCACCCTGCATATTGCAATTCCTGTGCACCATGCAGAGCTCCTAAAAGGAGGCAGGAATGCATGCTGGGATCTGTAGTCTCTGGCTGAGTCATCCTGTTGAGCAGGACAGCAGCCCAGGCCATCCCTCTTGGTGGTACCGCTGGTCATGGGGGAGTGAACTCCAACACAAGCGAGGTCAGGACACCAGCAGGGAAGGCTTGGGAATGGCAATGACCTTCTGGGCTGTGGTTTCCTTCCAGCGATCCTTGCCTCGCCACGGACTGCAAGTATGCCAACAAGTTCCACTTCCACTGTCTCTTTGGGAACTGCAAGTACGTCTGCAAAACATCTGGCAAGGCCGAATCCCACTGCCTGGACCACATCAACCCCAACAACAACCTGGTGAACGTGCGAGACCAGTTTGCGTACTACTCTCTGCAGTGTCTCTGTCCCAACCAGGTCAGCATGGCGGGCCGGCCCAGGCGCAAAGTAGGGGGCAGGGAGGTGCAGGGCTAGCTCAGGGCATAGGACAGGCACCTCTTGGCAGAGGTTCTATTTCTGACATCTTGCTTAAATGGGCCTCCCGGACTCTGGAAAGGGCACCGTCTGCCCCTAGACCCCTGGAGGCCCCTGGGCAGGGGTCCAGATTGGTGCTAGTTGGTGAGGTCTGACACCTGAGTGGTGACTCAATGCTGGGCAGTCACTGTGCCTTTGACATCATTCTTGCCTATCCTGGAACTAGCTTTATGCCCCCTTTCTCCAAAGCTAGAATTTTCTAACAGGCCCATTGTCCATGCCCACACAGGAAGGTCAGATCAGATTCACCTTAAAGGCCTGACTCCCAAGACCAGGAGGGGCTGCCTGAGGGGGAACCTGGGTCCAGGTGTGCTAGGATAGAGCAGTGATGTCTGCCTAGGTCTAGGCATACAGGGAAGACTGTTAAAATAGATTCACGGTGTCTGCTCTAGGTGTGGGATTGCAGATGGACTGCAAGGTTACCAGGTTAGGATGCTTTAGTGCAGTGACTAAGGGCATGCACTGCTTTTTTTTTTTTTTTTTTTTTTTTTTTTTTTTTTTTTTTTGGAGATGGAGTCTCCCTCTGTTGCCCAGGCTGGAGTGCAGTGGTGCAATCTCGGCTCACTGCAACCTCTGCCTCCCAAGTTCAAGCAATTCTCCTGCCTCAGCCTCCCGAGTAGCTGGGACTACAGGCTCATGCCACCACACCGGGCTAATTTTTTGTATTTTAATAGAGATGGGGTGTCACTGTGTTGCCCAGGCTGGGCTCAAACTCCTGAGCTCAGGCAATCCGCTCACCTCGGGCCTCCCAAAGGGCTGGGATTACAGACGTGAGCCACCGCGCCCAGCCCTGCGCTGCTTTTTAATATGCGAAAGGTGTTTCTGTGATCATCAGCTTCTGAGAGAGAAGAACACATGTGCCAAGGGCCCATCACAGCCTCAGGCCCGGGGCAGACAGGAGCTCACGAAAGTCACCCGCCTGTCCTGACCGTCCCATGTCTCCCTGCAGCACTGCGAGTTCCGAATGCGCGGGCACTACCACTGCCTCCGCACCGGCTGCTACTTCGTGACCAACATCACCACCAAGCTCCCCTGGCACATCAAGAAGCATGAGAAGGCGGAGCGGCGGGCAGCCAATGGCTTCAAATACTTCACCAAGCGCGAGGAGTGTGGCAGGCTAGGTACCGAGGGCCTGGGCTGCGGGCAGGGACTTCCAGTGGGCATCAAGGCCATGGCCCCTGTGGCCTGGGCCGCCTCTCCTGGTACCCGTGTCCTGTCCCCACCGCAGGATCCATGTTTTGTTGAAGGTGTGCCAGATATCACAGGCTAGGCACCGTCAAGCTTGTGAAACAGTCCAAACCCACAGAGCCCAGCAAGAAGGGTGGGGGTGACTCACGCAGGGCACCGCCCTTCCACCCCCAGACAGCGGCTCTGGGACTTCGTCGTGAGCATCCAGGGCCTGGGCGTGGTTCTGTTTCCCTTTTCTCATCAAGAAGTCGAGCAGGGAAGTCTTAGGAGTTCAAAGTTCTTTGCTCTGGGATCTCTTTCCATGGCTTTCATGATGAGGTTTTTGTCCACAATGAGCTACAGTTTGTTCGTCCATTCATCCATTTTGTAGTTACTTATGGAGGGACAGCTCTGTGCCAGGCTGGGTGCTGTCACAGGGGTGGGGGTGGTGACAGTGATGGCGGCTCAGATCTAGCAGGGAATGGTCAAGTTCCCCATGGGCTCAGCTGGAGCATCCGTGACCCGGAACCCAGGAAGAGGCTGCTGTGGCTTCGGGAAGGGAAGCCACCGATGCCTGAGAGGTAGCCGTGCTGCTGGGAGCTGAGCCCCGGCCCCTGTGCATGGCCTGCTGAAGGGGCAGGACTCTCCCTAGGAAGAGACCAGAACCCAAGGGCAGGCGAGAGCCAGGCCGTCAGGCAGAGGCCCCTGGGCTGCAGGCGAGGCCCATTGTGGCCTGGTGGTCGTGGCAGCAGGGGTGGGGGCTGCTGCAGTCTGGTCCTTCCAAAAGTGAAAAGGTGACATATTCAAAGTCAACTGCCAGAAAAACGAAACAAACCTTGCCTTCAAGTATGAATTCAAAAAGGAGTTCTCGGCCAGGGAGAGGGCTGGTAGCCATGCCAATAAGTGTCAACACTCGTGGCCTGTGCTGTCCCTGAGCTCAGTTTACAGATGTCAGGGTATCCTGCAGTTGCCGTTATTTACTCAACTTGTGGTGGTTTTGGTGATAGTTGGGGCCAAACAAAGCTGGGGGATGACAGAAGACACCTGGCCAGCCTGGGCGCCATGGCAGCGGACAAGCCCTCACCTGCCCCGGGATGCTGTTTCAGTCCCGCCTGCTCTGTTTGTTCTCGGCCCAGAGCAAGGCAGCGGGTGCTGGGGCCTGGGCAGAGGGGCCGGCAGCACCCCGAACTTCCCAGCAGAGATGTGGGGACAGGTGGCTTGCTGAGAGGTAGCTGGCCTAGTGTACAGGGACCATGAGGGTCCCTTGCCCTGGAGCTGTGCACCTCCCCGCGTGTGGGCCAGGGGATGGGGGCCAGCCCGGCATTGTCACTTGCCTCTGTGCCAGGCTGGAGAGGAGGCCCAAGGTGTGGACAGCCAGGTGGCTTTGGACTTCCTGACCTTCCTCCTAAGAGTGCCACCGTGGTGCAGCGCCCTTCCCCCTGCCATCTGCCTTATTGGCCACACTGCCCCCATGCCTAGAACAGTGCCTGACAGAGCCTGGAAGCCATGAGCGCTGGCCAGCTGGGGGGCTTATGCCAGGTGGGCCTATGTCCACAGGCTGCAAGTACAACCAGGTGAACAGCCACTTCCACTGTATCCGGGAGGGCTGCCAGTTCTCCTTCCTCCTCAAGCACCAGATGACCTCCCACGCGCGGAAGCACATGCGGAGGATGCTGGGGAAGAACTTCGACCGTGTGCCCCCCTCCCAGGTGAGAGCCCTCCCCAGGTGAGAGCCACCCCCCGCAGGTGAGAGCCCAGCCAGGGTGGCGGGAATGCATCATGGTCCCACGCTCACTCTCAGGCCTGTGCTGCGTGGAGCCTCGGCCTGCCCTCTGTGGGCAGCATGCCCCACAGCCCCACTTCCTCAGGGACCCCCGTGTCCTTTCAGGGTCCCCCAGGCCTGATGGATGCTGAGACAGATGAGTGCATGGACTACACTGGCTGCAGCCCGGGCGCCATGTCCTCTGAGTCATCCACCATGGACCGAAGCTGCTCCAGCACCCCCGTGGGTAACGAGAGCACTGCGGCAGGTGAGCTGCAGGCAGGGGCTGCTGGCAGGGCCAAGCCCCACTCCCAAAGCCCGGCACCAATGGGTGCAGCTTGGGACAGAAGGTCCGGGGCACACGGCCTCTGAGGAGGACAGGCTGGTGTGCAGCAGAGCCAGCTGGTCTGTGGGACTGAGTCACTGAGGCCCCTCCCGCCATCCTCCCGCCTCCCCGGCGCTGCCCTCCGTATCAGTTTCCAGGAGAGGACCCTGGGCCCCTCTGCCCAGGCCCCAGCACCCCCTGCCTTGCTCTGGGCCGAGAACAGTATGAGCCACAGCGGGAGCAGCGCGGCTCTGGCCTCCTTCCTCTGCTGCCTCCCACCTGGCCTGGGCCCAGCACCGGTCCTGCCCGGCACACCTGCCCATGTGACCCCTGGCACTGCCCTGCCTCTCTCTCCTCCTGCCCCCTCTTCTTGTGTCCCTCTCTCTGCTCATCCGTGCACACATTTTCATGCCATACCTGCTTCTGCCATCGGGTTTCTCATTTTGGTTCTTTCTGTTTGTT